ATCCCTACACCCTATCCCCATCCCTAACGCTAAAACTCTCCCTAAACCCTAAGCCTAAATAAGTGGGAAAGCACCCACTCAGGGAATGATCCTACCACAATTCTATCTTCATTTTTTCCTTCTTTTTGGATTTTGGGCACCATACATGTACTTGGCATGTTTCTAAAGCTACTGGGTTCAGGACTTGAACCACATAGTCGACCATGTAGGATCCAGTCACCTTAACTACCACACCACAGGTGGCCCTCATTTTTAGAGTATCACTGGACGGTAATACACTAAATTTATAATAGTGGTACTCTGAAGAATAGAGAACTGGAAGATTGAGACACAGGTGTAGGAGGGAGACTTGCTTTTCACTATTCATTTATGCTGTTTGAATATTTTTCTATGTGCATTAAAAATAAATTAGTAAAAAAATTGTCAAAAGAACCTCATCAGAAACGGAACTCATATGAAAATCACAGCATAGCAAGGCTAACAGGGACCTTAGAGATTAGAAAACTGATTCCCAGAGAGGACATAGATTTGCCCAGGGCGTGGATCACCTACTTTGTGGTGGGTGGCCTTAGCTGCCAAGCACCAGCTGCCTTCAAGCATGTCAAATGAAAGTTAGTGACTACCTCCATTTCCTTTTTCAGTCTCACCTTGGCCTTTTAGCATGGATCCAGTCTGAAACTTGGCTGTGAGAGTCAGGCGACACCTTGGAGAGGAAGAACTGTTCCCATGAGGAGCAGTAATGACTCTCAGGTTCTTCAGAATGTGCTTGACCTTTGGCTTTTTCTCTGAATATACAAGGTTGACTTTCACTTTGCTCTCAGAGCCAAGGCACTGCAGGGTAGCCACAGTCCAGTTTTGGGTGAATGTGGCCCTTTTGGCTTCTGTGTGCGTTTCTGGAAGGAGATGAGCCAGACAGAAAAATGAAGCTGGTTCTTATTCCGAATGTTACCTAGCCAACCCACTTCCATTTGCGACCCTTTACATTAAACTCCATTGTTGCACTTTGTCCTCCTTTTCGCTTATTTTTCCATCAGTATATGTTTATGGTGCTAAGTATACAAGTACTGCTTTTCTTCCTTTCTGCCATGGGCCCCATGAAGACAGCTGACTGCAGCAAATTCAGCACTAGGATGTTTTCTTTAAAGCAGAGAGGGTTAGGTGTGCCTCCCACTCTTTCTTCATCCCTTCTTCTTTGATTTATATAAGCATGACTTAGGTAATAATAGCTCGTTTAAAATTTGGTTTCCAGAAAACCTCCTGGTGAGAGTACATATCTTTAAAATCAGTTATTCAAGATCTGGAGTGGGAAGGAGGGGAGACAAGGCATCTTTTAAAGGTAAAAATTTCTTTGAAATGGCGAATTAATTTTCCACAAAGGGCCCATTCCTACCTTTCATAAGCAAATCCCTGATGCTTCTCACATCCTTTGGGAAGAGCCCAGGCAGCTGTTCTACTTGGCAACTGCTATCTCTGAGGGCTAAAGGAGGAGGAACACATGGTCAGAATTGACTGGATACTTATTCTTTAGAATTCTGGGTACTGGTATTTGGATGTGCCACCTTAAAAATGAAGGTAACATCGGGGTCAGTAGGTGGTGTGGAGGTTGAGGCAGGTAGATCCCACATGGGCAATTCCTTGGTTTGAGCCCTGGACCTAACAGCTTAAAAATTATGCCAGGCAGGTTCCAGCAGATGGTGTAATGGTTACATTGCTGGACTCCCACGTAGTCTACTGCAGTTCGAGTCTCAGACCTAGTGGCTTAACCCACGCCGGGCACTGGTGTGTGCATGTCCAAAATCCTGAGAGGAGAGTGAAGGAAAAGGGATTACAGTGTGGCCATCCCCCCAGGGGGTGATTTATCATTTTCTGTTTCTCTGTCTTTCCAGTGAGCATAATTACCCTATAGCAAAAACCTCTCTTAAAAAAATATATGCCAGGCATGCATTCGTACATGCCTAAAATCTGAGAGGAGAACGAAGGAGGGAGAATTGTGACATGGCCATCCCCCCAAGGAGTGATTTCTTCCTCTCCCTCTCTCTGTCTGTCTCTTTTCTCTCCAGCGAGTGCACACTTTACAGCAAAAACTAAATTAAATAAATAGATAAGTAAAAATATTAAAGCAACATCTTTTTTTTTTTTTTGGAGAGGTTTTTGCTATAGGGTGCGTGAGCTCTCCAAAAAGACAGAGAAAGACAGAGAGACAGAAAGCGAGAAATCACCCCCCAGGGGGGATGGCCACGCCGCAGTCCCTTCTCCTCCATTCTCCTCTCGGGATCTTGGGCACGCATGCACTTGTGCCTGGCATGAGTTTAAGCCGCCGGGTCCGGGACTCGAACCGCGGTCGACTACATGGGAGTCCAGCGACATAGCCATTATGCTAATTGCTGATCCCGTAAGCAACATCTTTTAAGGGGCTATGAATTTGGGAATCTCCAGTGACCATACTGAAGCTATGAGAGTACCCTCTAATAAAGCTATCTAATAAAGGATTTTTGCCCCCATCAGGCTCATGAACTCACCAGAGAGAGACTAAGACAGAGAGAGGGAAAGTGAGAAATCATTCCCTAGAGGGGATGGCCATGCAATCCCTTCTCCTCTGTTCTACTTTCGGGATTTAGGGCACACGCACATGTGCCCAGCACAATTTTGAAGTCCCTGGGTCTGGGACTCCAACCTTGGTCAGCCATGTGGAAGTCCAGTGCCTTCACCACCACTCCATCTACTGGCCCAGTTAAAGGACTTTTAATGTTAGTTACATGAACAAGACAGAAGAGTGTGTCACATTTTCTCAAGACTTCTCATCATGAAACAGCTATTTCTCTGACTTAAACAGTCCTGCATAGAGGCAAGAGGACACGTGGGATAACGTCTGAGAAGTATCATTTACCAGGTATTCGCTTTATCTGTGGACCAGGTCCCCAATGCTTTCTATACCTCTTTGTTGATTACCTGGAATATCAGGATGGGAAAATCCTTACCTTTCCTGTTGGCATCATAGGATGTGACGATGAGGCTGAAGACCAAGATGGTATCCATGTTAACCTGCATGCATGCTCATTGTAAAGACGGTCCACTACTGATCTGACACAGCCCCTAGGAACCTTGTCTCTAACTTCTTTCACTTCCCTGGCACTGAGTTTGACCCTGGGGAGTCTGGTTGTATCCTGATTATTTTGCCCCATTTCCTGAAGACCCAGAAATAGAGCTGATTGGAGAAAGGGCCAAGTCTGCTTATTAATGATTGACTAAGAAGATCTTCCCTTGACTTCACTGCTGGTGCCAACATAGAGTACTGTAATTACCTAGAGGTTTCCCTAGAGGAAAGGGTATAAACATAGAGATATGCTTTTAAGTACTTGCAGATAGACACGTAGCCATTCATATGCATGCTCATGACACAAGCACATGGCTTTATACACTGACATAAAGAGATAGAGAGATTTCTATTAGGGAGTGTAATTTCTAGAATAGAGCAGGAAACAGATTGAGTAAGCCTATGAATTACATTGGAGAGAGCACTAGACTAGGAATAATAGATTAAAATTCTAGTATGGGCCCTGTTATCATTATTTTTTTTTTTTTTGGAGAGATTTTTACTGTAGGGCGTGTGCGCTCGCCAGACAGACAGAGAGAGACATAGAGACAGAAAGCGAGAAATCACCCCCCAGAGGGGATGGTCACGCCGCAATCCCTTCTCCTCCATTCTCCTCTCGGGATCTTGGGCACGCACGCACACGCGCCTGGCGTGAGTTTTAAGCCACCGGGTCCGGGACGTGAACCGCGGTCGACTACGTGGGAGTCCAGCGACATAGCCATTACGCTAACTGCTGGTTCCCATCATTATTTTATTATTATTTTATTACTTAAATTTTATTTTTTTGTGGAGCCAGCAGGTGGCATGGTGGTTAAGGGCACTGGATTTCCACATGGCCAACCAGGGTTCAAGTCCTAGACCTGGCAGCTTGCTTTCTCACTTTCTCTCTCTCTCACTCTGTCCCTCTCTGGTCAAAATTTAAAAAATAATAATGCATAAATAAAATTAAATAAGTCTTTAAAATAAAAATAAATTTTGCATGTGCTTGCCAGAGAGAGAGAGACAGAAAGAGAGAAAGAGACAGAAAGTGAGAAAGCAAGCACACGCTAGGGGAGATGGCCACACCACAATCCCTTCTCCATTCTCCTCTCAGGGTTTTGGGCATGCACACACAGGGTTTTTCAAGCTGCTGGGTCCAGGACTCAAACCACACAGTTAGCTACATGGGATTTAGCTGCCTTAACCACCATACCACCAGCTGGCCCAAGGCCCTGTTATTAACTATGATATATCACCTTGAGAAAATTGCTTGACTTTTTCTACTCTGTAAATTAGAGCTCCAATGAAATGATATCTAGAATTCACCCACATATATATGCACAAACTCTCACGAGAACAGATAAACTTACTGTGTTTTGCATATATTCACACTCTTAAATAGTGATATGAGTATGGGTAGACAACATTCCTATGACTATTAGTCTGAGAGTGGGTGAGGAAGAGCTAAAGACAGTAGGGGGGTGGGACCAGCAGATGGTATAATGGTTATGTCACTGGACTCCCATGTAGTCAACCATGGTTTGAGTCCCGGACTCAGAGGCTTGAAACTCATGCTGGGTGCATGTGCATACATGCCCCAAATCCTGAGAGTAGAGAAGGGATTGCAGCATAGCCATCCTCCTGGGGGGTGATTGCTTGCTCTCTGTCTCTCTGGTGAGCACATGTGCCCTACAACAAATATATCTCTTAAAAAAAAAGAGAGACTAGGGGGTGAAGGTTGGCTGTGTAGCCTAGTGGCTAAAGGAGCCAGATCCCACATGGCCAACGAAAGTTCAGGTCCTGGTGGCTTGAAAAACATGCCATGTACAAGTATGTGTGTGGGGGCCAAAATCCCAACAGGCTGGAGAAATGGAAGAGAAGGGACTGCAATGCGACCATGCCCCAATGAGGGGTGCTTTCTCCTTCTCCCTTTCTCTTTCTTTTGTCTCTGGTGAGTGCACGTGTCTCTGGCAATTAAACGGAAAAAGAAAAAGAAATGAAGATCTGCTCAGATCCACCCCTAAGTCCAGAACCTCTATAGTCTTTCTGCTCATTGGGGGGCTGGCAGGTGGCGTGGTGGTTAAGGGCACTTGACTCCCACATGGTCGACTGTGGTTCGAGTCCCAGACCTGGTGGCTTGCTTTCTTACTTTCTCTCTCTCTGGTCAAATTAAAAATAAATAAATAAATAAAATTAAATAAAATTATTCAGAAGGGATGGCCATGCCGCAATCCCTTCTCCTCCATTCTCCTCTCGGGATCTTGGGCACGCACGCACACGCACCCAGCGTGGGTTTTAAGCCACCAGGTCCGGGACTCCAACCATGGTCGACTGACTATGTGGGAGTCCAGGGACATAGCCATTATGCTAACTGCTGGTTCTCAAATAAAATTATTCTTTAAAAAAAGAAATACACTTCATTGGAGCCAACATGTAACATGGGTTTAGCTATGCATGAACAGGTTCTGGGCTGAAACTGAGAGGGAACTTGGTTTAAGACCCTTTACAGAGGGAGATCATTAGATTTTTAATCAGATAATTGAAATACCACCCTGTTTCTTTTTTTATAATTATTTATTTAATATTATTTATTTATTCATTTATTTAAATTTGACCAGAGAGAGACACAAAGAGGGAAAATGAGAAAGCAAGCCACAGTTTCCGGGACGCAAACTGTGTTCGGCCACGTGGGAATGTCCAGCGCCTTAACCACCATGCTACCTGCTGGATCTACCACCCCGCTTTCTAGTACTTAAGTACAGCTTGAAATTGGCTACATTGCACATCAAGGGAAGTCTTGGTGGAGAGACATAAAGGGAAGAGATGTCACTGAAGGACAGAACGTTGCCTGAAATATGAAGGGAGGAAGTGACAAGCTGAGCATCCGACCCCAGCGCCTTTCATTCTTGCATTCAACAAGTGTTTGTGGAGGGCCTGCTGTGTGTCAGGCACTGTTCTAACAGTGAGCAATACTAAGACCCAAAACAAAGAAGACAAAGAGCAACGTCTATGTCCTCATGAAACAATGAGAAACAGACAATAAGCATGGTTGAAAAATAAAATGGTGTGGAAGTGCTGTTGATAAACAATATACAAATACATAAGGTAACTAAATACTATGATATTTGCTATAAAGAAAAGGGTGATGCAGTGAAGGATTACTGGCAGAGATCACTTTAATTAGGGTGGTCAAAGACGACTTCCCCGAGAAAATGCCATCTAAGCTAAGTTCATCACAGGAGCCAAGAGAGGAGAGTATTTCAAGGAAGGAGTGGTCAGTTGGTCAAATGCTGAGAGGTTGTATGTAGGGAGGACAGAATATCCACTGGCTCTGGCCATTTTCTAAGAGCATTTCCAGTGGAGCCCTAAAAGTGGAAGGGTGTTGAGAGGGAATTGGAGGTAAAGAAGCGTAGCTAACTTTTTCAAGTTTTGCTCCAACAGAGCAGAGAAATGAGACCACTGACTAGAGGAAACATAGATGTCTCAAATCTTTATTGATTCTGTTCTTTTTTTTCCTCTATAGTTGCTGGATTGTCTTAGCACAGGAGGTGGCTATGGCAGAATAAAAGGCTCCATTGCCCTCTTTGGGTTTCATTATTTTTGCTTACTAGTCCCTTAACATGATTATGATTCTCTGCGCCCCTTCAATATCAGACCTTTACCCTCTGTTGTTCTAGTTGACATTTTAAATGTTTAGTTCCTAGATGCCACGTTACAATGCTGCCCCCTTGGAGTGGGAGTAGGAATGGATCTGAAGGCTCGTTGTTCTCATCCTGTGTCACAAGGTGGCAGAAGAGCTCACTTTCCCCAGCAGAGACCTTAATGCTTGACCAAAGCTGACGCAGATGTTTTATCAACTCTCAGATCCTGAGGTTCGAAAGTCAGCATGCAAGTGGGACAGGCCATATCACAGAGTACAAAGAAGTGGGAGAACTGTAACCCAGCAGTAAAGAAATAGACCCAGAACTATTTCTTTCCTATTAGAAGTTTTTTTGTTGTTGTTGTTTTTGTTTTTCTGAGAGATTTTTGCTATAGGGCGCATGTGCTCGCCAGACAGACAGAGAGAGACAGAGAGACAGAAAGCGAGAAATCACCCCCCAGGGGGGATGGTCACGCCGCAATCCCTTCTCCTCCATTCTCCTCTCGGGATCTTGGGCATGCATGCACACGCGCCCGGTGTGAGTTCTAAGCCACCGGGTCCGGGACACGAACCGCGGTCGGCTACGTGGGAGTCCAGCGACATAGCCATTACGCTAACTGCTGGTTCCCTCCTATTAGAAGTTTTGACGGACTTTTTTTTTTTTTTTTTAGAAGTTTTTGTGCTTGCTGGAGAGACAGAGAGAGACGGAGAGATAGAAAGCGAGAAATCATCCCCCGGGGGGATGGCCACACCGCAATCCCTTCTCCTCCATTCTCCTCTCGGGATCTTGGGCATGCATGCACATGTGCCCAGTGTGAGTTTAAGCCACTGGGTCCGGGACTCGAACCACCGTCAACTACATGGGAGTCCAGTGACATAGCCATTACACCGACTGCTGGTCCCATGTTTTGACGAACTTTCTAAGGGTTTGGAATATCTGTAGAGAAGATCCTCCTTCTGATTTCTTTTCCTACAATAAATACATCAAATTTAGAAGGAAAAAACTGTAACATAAGTGAGTTTTACAATGTGTGCAATTTCAAGATATGATCTTTGGACATAGGGGCAAAATTAGAACTGAATGGATGAATCAAATCAGAGTGGGTCTGTAGGAGTAGCTGACAGAAGCCAAGAGGTCTACCTAGGTTCTGTATAGATTCGATTTTGTAATGGACTAAACAACTTTGAGCAAGTCACTTAACTTCTTTGAGCCTCTGTTTTGATTTCTTTAAGTTGGACAACATGATTTCCAAGACCTCTTCCAGTTCTAAAATGATCTTACCTCCTCACTATGCTACTCTTCTCTTCAGGGTATATGCTTTT